TACATTCAGACACACACATGCATTCGCACACATACATACACATAGACATGCATACATACATACACACATATACTTACATTCATATATGCATGTATACATAGGTACATACATACATACAGGGGCTGAGTGGTCTCGAGGTATAGCATCCGGTTCCAGTGCTAGAGTTACCGGGTTCAAACCCCGTTTAAAACTGGGACTTTTTTTCACGTGGACTTCTAGTAATTGCCCTTGGTCTCTGGGTAGTAAGACCGAACGCCCGTGTGAATTGTTGCGCACGTAAAAAATCCCTTTGCAGTTAGAAATCGAAAAGAGTAACCTAACAGCGCTGCCATGGCAAAGTTTGGAGTTAAAAATCTACCCAAAGTATTTCAGATTGTGATCGATTTTGTAAAGCTCACATAAACTGTTTGTTTTTTCTTACTAACTTTTTCTCTTCCCTATAATTTCCCAACCCTTTAAAAACTTGCCTGTGCAATGGAGTTTGTTTACTGCGCTGAGATTCTTCAGACGCAGGCTGAGGTTAGAATAAGAACAGAGCACTTATTGATTTCACCCTTGTGCCATAATGTTAATCCGCCGAATAAACATAAATATACACACATACATGCATGTATGCATTCATGCATACATACATACAGCGTAAACAATATGATAAGATCTCTTTCAATTGTCCTAACAGGCAGGACAGAGTGGGGCTCTAATGAGACAGAAGCGTTATTTAAATAGCTAATAATAATAATAACATACAAACAAACAAAGAATGTTAAATGGCACATATATTTATAACCATTGGTATACCCTGGCCCTTTGTGCCATTGGTAGAATAAGTTCCTCATATGTGGTTTTGGATAGAACATGCTGTATTGTGTTGCCAAGAACATGCTGTACTGTTAACAAGAACTTGATATACTGTGTTGCCAAGAACATGTGTACTGTGTTACCGAGAAGATGCTGTGATGTGTTGCCTAGTATATGATGCATTATGTTGCCAAGAACATGATGTATTATGTTGTCAAGAACAAGATGTATTGTATTGCCAAGAACATGATGTATTATGTTGACAAGAACATGCAGATTTGTGTCGCTGAGAACATGATGTATTATGTTGTCAAGAACATGATGTATTGTGTTGTCAAGAACATAATGTATTATGTTGTCAAGAACATGATGTATTGTGTTGCCAAGAACATTATGTATTATGTTGACAAGAACATGCTGTATTGTGTTGCTAAGAACATGATGTATTATGTTGTCAAGAACATGCTGTATTGTGTTGCCAAGAATGTGATGTATTGTGTTGACAGGAACATGCTGTATTGTGTTGCCAAGAATATGCTTTCTGTTGCATTGTGTTGATAGGAACATGCTGAATTGAGTTGCCAAGAACATGCTGAATTGAGTTGCCAAGAATATACTGTATTGTGTTGCCAATAACATACCGTGTTGTGTTGCCAAGAACATACTGTGTTGTGTTGCCAAGAACATACTGTATTGTGTTGCCAAGAAGATACCGTATTGTGTTGCCAAGAACATACCGTACTGTGTTGCCAAGAACATACCATATTGTGTTGCCAAGAACATACTGTACTGTGTTGCCAAGAAGATACTGTATTGTGTTGCCAAGAACATACTGTATTGTGTTGCCAAGAACATAATGTATTGTGTTGCCAAGAAGATACTGTATTGTGTTGCTCAGAAGTATCTCTCATGCTGTAATGGTGCTGGTGGTAATGTTTGACAACATTCTAGAATCTAATGAAGATTATTATTGTTTGACAACATTCTAGAATCTAATGAAGATTATTATTGTTTGACAACATTCTAGAATCTAATGAAGATTATTATTGTTTGACAACATTCTAGAATCTAATGAAGATTATTATTGTGTGACAACATTCTAGAATCTAATGAAGATTATTATTGTTTGACAACATTTTAGAATCTAATGAAGATTATTATTGTGTGACTACATTCTAGAATCTAATGAAGATTATTATTGTTTGACAACATTTTAGAATCTAATGAAGATTATTATTGTGTGACAACATTCTAGAATCTAATGAAGATTATTATTGTTTGACAACATTTTAGAATCTAATGAAGATTATTATTGTTTGACAACATTCTAGAATCTAATGAAGATTATTATTGTGTGACAACATTCTAGAATCTAATGAAGATTATTATTGTTTGACAACATTCTAGAATCTAATGAAGATTATTATTGTTTGACAACATTTTAGAATCTAATGAAGATTATTATTGTGTGACAACATTCTAGAATCTAATGAAGATTATTATTGTGTGACAACATTTTTGAATCTAATGAAAATTATTATTGTGGGACATCATTCTAGAATCTAATGAAAATTATTATTGTGTGACAACATTCTAGAATCTAATGAAGATTATTATTGTGGGACATCATTCTAGAATCTAATAAAGATTATTATTGTGTGACAACATTCTAGAATCTAATGAAGATTATTATTGTGGGACATCATTCTAGAATCTAATGAAAATTATTATTGTGTGACAACATTCTAGAATCTAATGAAGATTATTATTGTGGGACATCATTCTAGAATCTAATGAAGATTATTATTATGTGACAACATTCTAGAATCTAATGAAGATTATTATTATGTGACAACATTCTAGAATCTAATGAAGATTATTATTATGTGACAACATTCTAGAATCTAATGAAGATTATTATTATGTGACAACATTCTAGAATCTAATGAAGATTAACACTGTTTGACACAAATACGTTTATTCAATTTTCCATCTTTTTAATAGATGAAAATACACAGCTTTCTTAAACAAGACAACATAAAGAGTAAATCATAACATTGTTTACATACTGGTTTTCATTAACCCTCATACACCTTTCCCTTACACATACATGCATACTGACGTATGCACACACACACACCTACAACCAAACACACACACACATATACTTTTATATATGTATATATAGTCACCCCCTGTCACCCAAACTCTCGTTCTCTTTACCTGCACACACACACACATATTTACATACTGTCGCTGGCTACTTTTCACATTCTTTTCCCTTTACACGTATGCATTTCCATACATGTTGCACGCTTACATTCATTCTCATATTTATGTACTGCCAACTATAATCACCCCCCCCCCTTTTTACACACACTACTATTTACATCGATTATCACTAACACTATCTTACTCCGTACACCCACAATCATTTTACCTCACACGCACAGTCATATTTACATACTGTCGATCATTTTTACTAACACATTGTTCCCCTTTACACACACACACACACACACGTATACATTTTTGCTCTTTATCACTCACACTCTCTTTCTCCTCACACACGCACGCACACAAACACATATATTGCCCAAACAATCTCAATTACCAATGTATGCTAACCTTTTGATTCAAATTACCACACACAGACGCGCAAATGCTGATGTTCATTCACTGGCTCTCATTTTCACACACACATACAACACACACTCACACACACACATCATCATTAAGTGCCTTGCCGACTTGCGTAGGTGATCATGCCTCTCCACCACCTGCAGTCTTCAACAACATATGTTAGTTCGGGTGTTAACACCCCCCTCCATGCCACGACAAAAGACTGTCAAGAATCTTCTCACTCTGTTTTCCTCTGTCTCTCTTTCCAGAAATATTTGCAGTTGTCTTTGAACCCTCAACTCTTTTAAAATTTCTTTTGAATTTTGGAAACCTCAGAATATTTTGTTAAGCTGTCCAATGATTTCTAAGGATTCTTCTGTAAAACCACATCTCTGAGGCCTTGAAAGATTGTTCAATATGTTTATTAATTTCTCAGGATTCACAGTCGCAGCCGTATGTTAAAACTGGCTCTAAATCGCATAGGAGAATTCTTTTACTAACCTCCAATGATGTGGATTTATTTCATAAAATGATCTTTATTTTATGAAAAAGAAGTTTTGGCCTGTTCTATACTGCACTATATTTCTGTGATACATTTCCCTCGGACATTATTCATGTGCCTAGATACTTACATTTCTGTACTTGTCTTTAAACAATGCCTTTGACTTTTATTATACATTTAGGCACTATTCTGTTCTTGGAAATCACAGTTACTTCTGTCTTCCCATTATTCAAACTAAGGCCCATTTGATCACTTTCTAACACCACATTACATATCAATCCCTGTATTTTTTGTTGACTTGTCATTATCAAGACCGTTTCGTCAGCATAACGCAGGTTGTTTTTGTTAGAACCACCAACCACAATTCCTGGCATATCCATGATACCTCTCATTATATGTTTACTGTAAAATTGAAACAAATCAGGTGATAGTAAACATCATTGTTGTACTCCATTGTTTATGCTCTGAAATGTTATGATAATAATAGTCCAGAAGTATATTTGCAGGACAATAATGAAGGCCCTCCAATACTCGCTACAGAAGTTGAAGTAGCATTGCATCACATAAGATAAAAGGAAAGGCACCTGGGCCAGACAACATCACACTTGGGAGAAATTGAAACTTTGAGATATTTTGGAACTGAAATAATAACAACACTGTTAAATGACATCAATAATAGTGGGCACATTCCTAATGACCTATTGACTTCTAAATCTAATGCTTTCCCAAAGAAACCAGGCACTTTAAAATGTGAAGACTTTCATATCATAAGTCTTAGAATTCATGTGACAATCATGTTACTGAGAATAATTATGAGAAGAATAAGAAAGAAGATTCATCCAGAAATCAGTTAAAAAACTCGCTCTCATCACGGTCTGCCTGAAGGAAAGGTACAAACAATGCCATATCCACCCCCAGGACTGTCTGAAAGAGTTATAAAAGTAAAAAACGATTTTACTTATACTTCTTTTACTCTATATATACACCCACACTTATACCCAAATTCATGTTTATCCATTGTGTGTCATGACCAAACACTCACAAACAATACAAGAATCAATGTGAGCTGTGAAGCCTGTCACTCACTAGCTGTCTCCCGGGGTGTGGCGTGTATCATGATTGGTTCCGCTGGCTGTAGGATGGCTGTGAAGTCTATAATGTGGAGCTTATCTGGGGTCGCCTTCGTGAGAACCACCCTCTGCAGAACGTGGATTAAGGCTAGTTTCATCTCTAGAATACCCAGCTTCATACCCACACAGATCCTAGGTCCAGCACCAAAAGGAATAAAGGCAAAAGGGTCAATGTGTGGAGTATCGTTCTCTTCAATGAATCTATCTGGGTTAAAGTCATCAGGGTTTTCCCAAAATTCTGGATCTCGCCCAAGGAGGTACAGTGGGAATGCAATCCCAGTTCTTGGTGGCAGACTGATTCCATTAAGTGTTGTAGCTTTTTCATTTTCTCGAGTAAGAACGGACAGAGGGGGGTACATTCTCAATGTTTCATTGATTACCGCGTCAGTATATTTCAGATTTAAACATGCATCGTAACTGGGTTCCTGATCTCCAATGACTTTACCAATTTCTGCCACCAGCTTGTCTTGTATTTCTGGGTGCCTGGTCAGTTCATAACAGAGAAACTGTAGAGTGCTCGAAGCTGTCTCATATCCAGCTATAAATAGCATGATGCCCTGAGCAACAACCTCCTCCTTCTTTAGTTGTCCAGATGTTTGGGCATCTTCTGGGTTGCGATCCATGACATCAATGAGAAGCTGTAGAAAATCAACTCGTTTAACGTTATCAGGTTCACTTCTCCTGTCGTCTATCATTCTTCTGATGCTTGCGTTGAAAAATTCCATGTCTTCTGTCTTAAAAAACCCACTGTTTAAAATTCTAGCAACGGGACGAGCAATCATTGGAAATGAGCATCCTAGAAGGGATACAAGCTTGATTGATTTCTTGTAGATAAATAAACTTCTGCCATGTTTTGTGAACGGCTCGTCCAGATTTTTCAGGGAATCCACATCGATGCTGAAACCTGTGCTTGTAACCACGTCCATTGCAAAGGCACCAAAAAGAAGCTTCGCATCCAAAGGAACTCCTTTCTTGGCACTTTCTAACACATGCTGGCCCAATCGTTTAGCACTGTTGTTGATAACATTAGTCATTGCCTTGATCTTTGTGATACTGAACGATGGAGAGAACAGTGCCCGAATTCTTTTCCATGTTTCACCTTTGGTAAAAAATATTCCAGTATCAACTTGATTATTGATCATAGCATCATCATCCTGAGAAAACCTATCCCTGAAGTTGGCGAAGTCTTTGATCAGCACCTGTTTGATGAGTTCTGGATCGGTTGTGACAAGCGCTGGTTTACGAAAGTAATAAGCCCCATAGGTCCGTCCATATTTGGCTTGCCAGTTGGCATAAGTCACCTTGGCCGTTTGGGAACCATACAAATCTGGAATATTTCCAAGAAAGATTGACGGTTTGGGACCTGGTACACCGAGCCTCTCCCACAAGCCATAGGGTTGTTTGCCATATCTGTAAGCAAACAAGAAACAGGGTAGATACAGATGTATATACATAGGAAATAGTGTTCGAGGAAGACAGAATAATAATGATATCCATGGCTGGATTGATGGGTTGGTTAATGGACTGATTAACAATTTTTGTGATGGTTGGTGGGTGCGATGACTGCTTGATGTGATGACTGATATGATGATTATTTGATGTAATTTTTAAGGGGTGGGGAAATGGGTGGGGGATTAGTTGTTGTGGTGATTGGGTAATGTAATGATTGATGGTCGTGATGATTAGTGGATGTGATGATTAATTGATGTGATGATTGGCTGATATGTTGATTGGCTGATATGTTGATTGGCTGATATGTTGATTGGCTGATATGTTGATTGGCTGATATGTTGATTGGCTGATATGTTGATTGGCTGATATGTTGATTGGCTGATATGTTGATGGGCTGATATGTTGATTGGCTGATATGTTGATTGGCTGATATGTTGATTTGTTAATGTGATTATTGGTTAATGTGATGATTAGCTGATATAGCGTATGGCAGATGTGATGCCTGGCTGATTTTTTCATCGGTCATGTTGGTTGGTTGATGTGATAAGTGGTTTACATTGGTTGATGTGATGACTGGTTTATATTGGTTGATGTGATGACTGGTTTATATTGGTTGATGTGATGACTGGTTTATATTGGTTGATGTGATGCCTGGCTGATTTTTTCATCGGTCATGTTGGTTGGTTGATGTGATGAGTGGTTTATATTGGTTGATGTGATGATTAGTTAATGTGATGACTGGTTGATGTGATGATTGGCTAATGTGATAAATAGTGGATAAATCAATTAGTAGATGTAAAGATTGGCTAATGTGATAAATAGTGGATAAATCAATTAGTAGATGAAAAGATTGGCTAATGTGATGATTGGCTGATATACTGATTGGTTGATATGATGATTGGCAAACATATTCATTGGTTGATGTTATAACTGGTTGATATATTTAATGGTAATACATCAGTGGTGAGATGTGCACGTTATAGCTGTAACCAATACTAACAATTTCCTTTGCCAAAGAAAAATCATATTACTATTTATTATTATTGTTTTGTTTTTCTCACAAATGTACCACTCAGGTTATGTCAGAAACGTAGCAAAACAAATGCTTTCTGTATGTTTAGGCCAGTTTATGTCAGAAACGTAGAAAAACAAATGCTTTCTGTATGTTTAGGCCAGGTTATGTCAGAAACGTAGCAAAACAAATGCTTTCTGTATGTTTACGCCAGTAAGTAAGTCAATTTTACCCCACCAGGACATCACACAAAGCGATAAAACTTGGTGACACAAAGTGCCACCATGCGGATGAGGATCACACGTGGACAGATCCTGTTCAACCGTTAGGTTATTTTAGGGCCTCCAGCAACAGCCGAGGTGGGGCTTCAAAATAATGAAAAACTGCATCCCACAAGGGGGCGCCAGTCGTTCAAGACTGTAACGTGTGAGAGCTACCAGTTACTAACTGATAACAGAATGGTGTGCAGCTCTAACAGTGTAACTGTATATATATATATATATTTTTTCCACAGATATGTAAAAGGGTACACAACTGCGATAAATGTGACATACTGACCATTTCATGCCTAATTTCCCTTTCGTTAAAAAAAAAAAAAAAACAATTTGCACTGAATCCACACAAAAGTTCTTCGAGCAAAACAAAAGACATTCATTTTCTTTCTCTCTTACTCCACCCACCCTAACATATTTTACGGTCCTATTTAGGTTTCCCAGCCCAACACACTGGTTGGCCTTTCATTCATGCTTGGTCGGGATTGCCTACGTCAGAGGAGTGTCATGTTGCACTGATGTACAAGACAAGACAAAAACACTTGACACCCCTCTGACGTAGACGAGCCTGTGAAAGTCCGATTACGCTATGTTTGGGCCAGGAAACGTAAATAGGACCGATTTTACAGTATAGATTACTCTGAATACTGATTATTCCAGTAACAGGTTGGACTTAACATTTGTCACCATCATCATCTTCATCCTCTTCTTTAATCGGTTATCTATGGGAGGTGTTAGTGATCATCTGACCCCAGTGAGAAAGAGGGAGAGAGAAAAAAGGGAGGCGGCAGAATAGAAATAAGCATCGTCTATGAATACAGCGGCATGGCGAATGCTTAGCCTAGAAAATCATTTCTAAAATCTGCAGTTGTGTCACATTGGATAAAAAAAAAAAAAACAACAGCTGTCTACATTGATAGTGTGCCTTTGTTGGATTAGATATCAGGTGAGTTGTAAAACAATGTCCCCGCCGCGGTACTCTTGTTTGAAAACCTCTGCCCTGGGCCCTAGACACGAAAGCCAGAACCCTCCTCTGAACCACAGGACCAAGATGGAGGACGCAGACATGCACAGAGCGACAAGATCACGCAGATTGGGACAATAAACCACAACTTTTAGCACATCATCATCATTATATAGCAGGTCATTTACAGAACGTCGCTCTCATCAGGGTCTGCTTGAAAGAAACTCTGTCTCTCGCCAGCTCTCCCGCCTAATGAACTGCCATACTCAAGGAGTCACTTATATCTTCGTGTTGGTCGGATCCTGCTCCTCCTTTTTAGTACTATGTCTTCTGCTATCATTTTTTTCCAGTCCGTCGTGGCCGTTTATATGATCAAAATATTTCAGCTTCCGAGACAGGATGCTGTTTATCAGCCAATCTTCCTTGATGTTCAGATCTTTCAAGATGTCAGTATTTCTCCCTTCCTTTGCCCAAGATATTCTGAGAATCTTTCTATAGCATTTCAGCTCAAAAGCCCCTATTCTCTTTCTTAAGGCCTAGGAGATAGTCCACGACTCACATCCGTATGTTGCCATAGGGAAGATACATGCTCTCAAAATTTTCATTTTGATCTCCTTGCTGGTGCACCATAAACTTTTAACACTGTTTATTCTTTGCATTGCTATGGCCATCCTCCTTTTTAATTTCTGTCAATCAGTCTCCATTGCTATTTATTATAGAGCCTAGATATTCAAAGTTTGTGACAATATCATTGTCTTCGTCATTTATTTATTTTTGGGTGGCAACCAATTTTATCCGTGGACATTATTTTCGTTTTCATTAAATTTAAGAACGGATTTTGATCTTCACTGTGCCTCTAGACAGACAATATTAAATTTTATATTCTCTTTACGCTGTTCAAAAAGAGGACTGTGTCATCTGCGTAGCGAAGTTCCGGAATAGGGTTGCCACCAATTTTGAGCGGATCATACCTGGCACCAGTCTTGTCATTTTTGACATTTCTCATTATATTTTCTGCGTATATATTAAATAGGTATGGTGAGAGAATGCACCCCTGCCTCACTCTTTTTTGCACCTCGAACCAGTCCAATGTTTCACCAGCTGCTCTGATGGCTTCTTGTTGTTCATGATAAAGATTTTCAATTAAATGCACTAAATGCGCTGGAAACCCTATACTTCTCATAATAGTCCAGTTTCTGATGTTAGACACAATCAAATGCCTTGCTATAATGAATGAAACAGGCATGAAGATCTACGTTGTATTCTCTGCATTTTTCAATTTAAGCCACTGCAAGCGGTATAACTAAAAAATAAATACCACAACTGTAATCGAACAATCAAATGCATGACCAACCTAACAACAGCTACTACAAACTCCGTGTGTTTGTGCCTTCATTAATCAACTGCCATGGCTGCCTCTATTGGCATCTGTTGCAGTGTAAACAGGGAGTTTTTAAGCCTGAGGGTTTCGGGTCCAATGGCTAGTGCTGTCGACACGGACTGTGCAGCTTAGGATTCTATTTTTGCTCCGGAAAGAAGAAAGAAATCCTCATACCTTACTGAGAATCCCTCTTCTTTGTTTTTCCGTCTGAGTGAACGAAATGCGCTGTGTTCGTTTACAACAAAGCTGCGATATTTGCACCTTTTGGTCGACACATCCGACTTCATCGAACATTTGATGACCAGTGACTTCCCGGATATTAAGGATTCGAACATGGGTCTCCCGCTTATGCATGTATTGTTTACTAGTATTTAAACAACTTTTCCACAAGAATTTTGAGGCTAGGTGTAAACTAGAACAGGGGAGAAAGCAATTATGTCTCGACAAAGAAAGCCCGCTTTTATTTTTAATAAGGCTAACACATAAACAGGAACCTGGCTCGTGTCAATGTAAGGTGCTCAAGTGCGAATGCACCAAAACTCCACGAGCAGCCAGAAAACACGCAGTAGGGCTGTAGCCAGAATCGCGTGCGCATGCACTGCCTGTCTGAACGATTCGTCTCAGGGTAAACTCTTACTACACCCTGGTGAAGTCAGAGCCGGCACTCGAGTTCGGTGTTTGGGGGTTCTGTTACCTGCACATACCAGACCCCAATCACTATTCCAAACCACCACAACCTGACCGCACTACGAACGATAACGTCTAGAATCATAGTTACAATTTCATCAACTATTTCAGCCACATTTTGTGCCTAATCTGCTCTTATTACACAAAGGTTATTTAGTTGTGTATCCTTTACATGATGTTGCAGAACCAACCCCAGCAGCCCCTGGCTGTTGTGTGGTTTCTCTAGGTAAATTTACGTCCAGTAGTTTGCTATTGTCCCTGGACGGTCGGCCCCCTGATACCACTGTCGAAACCAACGCAAGGCGCATGGCGCGCAGTTGGGATCGAACCCGGCACCCCGGCATTACGAAGCGTCCGCATCGACTTAGCCACAGAGCCGACTATTACACGAAGACAGCTTTCAAATTGATGTGAAACCACGCGAAATATTCAGTTAAGAATCTATCCCAAACCCAAAAACTGTTTTCAGAACTTTTGGCAAAGTAAGATACTTAAAATTTTAAAACTATAAAGGATGGTCCGAAAGGACGTTATGTAAATAATAGTTACGAACTAGCTGTGTCTGTAACGAGATATGCACGACCACATTAGAAGGGAACAGGTACTGGAACAATTTGGAGGACACAATAATAAGGAGGATTA